TCCAACACCATATTAATAAATAAATAAATATATATATATATAGTATCTGTAGTGGTCCCATTATTTTGTGGCTTACAAATGAACATGCTCCTCAGCAAGCCATGCCACAATTTTCTTTTACACAAGTCACCACCATCACCAATTCTACTTTCATTCCATTCCTTCTACCACTATAAATATTTTCCATTATGGCAGTAGTCTTTCAATGCAGGCATTTGTAACAGGAATAAAAATAACTCAAACATAAGTTCTGGCATTTCCTTAAATTCACAGCTTCTCAGATTTTTACCACAACTTTTCATTAAAAGACATATAACTGAAACTTTGAACAGGAACTGTTAATCTTGTTGGAAAGTTATCTTAGACAAACTCAAATTTGGCAGAGTTTTCCACCTTAAAAAGTCTTGGAAAAACAAGATCTCTAATCTTCAACATGGAAAAATATTCAAGTGTTTGATTTTTTTCTAATTTGTGACAGTAATGTACAAAGCATCCTGCAAGTCTAATAACTGCATATTCTGAAGTGATTAGTAGATTGAAAACATATTTATGAAGCAATGGCAAGTATTATTTGAGCTTAAAACATTTTTTATAGACTTTACTGAATCTAGTATATTTTCCTTAGTACATAAGCACAGACACCATAAAGAAAAACATAGATACTTTTAAGTTATATTACTGACAGAAGTTAATGAGTGATACATCAATGCAACAGGATGCTCAAATACAACAATATACATAAATGTTAAATGATACTAGTAAGGAGGTTGGTTTAGAAATAAACACAAAGAAAACTAAGAATATGTTGCTGTCTCATCACCAGATAGCAAGGCAAAATTATGACATAAAGATGTTTTGAAAATGTGGCACAGTTCAGATCTTTGGGGACAACGATAACAAATCAAAACATGATTCAGGAGGAGATTGAACTCGGATAATGCTTGCTGCCATTCAGTCCAGAACCTTTTGTCTTCTCGTCTGTCTATAAACATAAAAATTAGAATATACAAAACTATAATTTTGCCTGTGGTTCTGTATGGGTGTTAAACTTGGTGTCTGAAATTAAGGGAGGAACACTAACTGAGGGTGTATGAAAACAGGGTGCTAAGGAGAATATTTGGATCAAAGAGGGATGAAGTGACAGGAAGTTGGAGAAAACTACATAATGAGGAGCTTCATAACTTGTACTCTTCACTAAACATGATCAGAATGATCAAGTCAAGGATAAGCTGGGTATGGCACGTAGCAAGAATGGGGGAGAAGAGGAATGCATGTAGGACACTGGTGGAAGATTCAGGAGGAAAGAGGCCAGTAAGAAGACCAAGATGTAGGTGGGTGGATAATATTAAAATGGATCTTAGAGACAGGATGAGGTGGTATGGACTGGATTCATGTATCTCAGGACAGGGACCAGTGGAGGGCTCTTCCTAACATGGTAATAAACCTTCGGTTTCCAAGTTCTAGAGTAGCTGCACAAGTGTCAGCTTCTCAAGAAAGGTTCAGCTCCATGGCATTAGGCATAAAAATTAACTTCAGAATTTCCTCCCAAGAACTCAATATACCATACTAAATATGTTCCTGAAATGACATGGAAGTCAACAGTACAAAAAGACAAAAATCATTCAACCAATTCTATCAGACTGCATCCTGTTCATGTTTGCTTCTCTGCCACAAGATAAAGTGTCAAAAAATTTACAGTAAAAACCTTCTGATTCTTTATTTCTTATTATACACTACATGTTTTTACCACAAACCCATCATCACCATCACCACCACCACCACATAATAATCTGCAAACTGTGTGCACCTGCATATATGTAATATTGCAAGTACAGTCTTATAAAAGATGCAATTATATACATGCTGATCCATGGAGGACATCTGACAAATTTTTAGCCAAAAGATACATTACATAATAATAATGAAAACAATTTTTAAATACATCCTCGTGTAACGGTTTGTTATGACCTAGATTCAACCAATTTACTTCAAAGTGCGAAGATGTAAAAAGATGGTCATACCGATCATTCGTTTATTGTAGTATTTTAATCAAGCTAACGACATATTTTGAAAGATACGATATAAAGATTAACATTTAAAACACTGAAATGACTCATGGCAGCTGATTCTGATAGCGCAAATAGGCAACGTTATGACCTACGTTATCACTCACCGTGTAGGTTGGTAACGGACCAGGACTGAACACCTGTTATACCAATCTTCATAAAATTCTTTCACGACAAACTGTCTATACACAAAATAATTTTCACACATGTAACACAATGTTAACATCCACTTTACATCTTCCCGTTAACATAATGAATAAATACACCCGTAAAATATGAAATATAAAACACCACGAACTACATCCATATTGCCTACATTCAGATAATGTTATTTCACTTCCTCTGTTGATCAAAAATGGAATGTATCACGATTCTACAAAATAAATCATGGTATGCTCAAGACTAAAGAAACCTTACGCTATGTATTTTAAATGCAGTAAACCGGAGACATACGCAAGAAAACGGCGCCATGCCATGCAACAACCAACATGCACGCCATAAACGAATAAGCATGCGTGCAGAAGCATTGAACTACGCAGAGACGAAAAAAAAAAATTACTGGGCACGGATACATCTGGTGGAGCTATCTGTAACTACGGCTGGGAACCATCAAATGATACTACTTCAACAGCGGGAATGTAAATCTGTCCGTGTTTAATTACTTAGCACCACGCCATGAAGATGTATGGGCGAGTGGAGGTAGCTCCACCATCACCAACCTCGGCACGAAACGGCGGAGCTTCAAGCCCCTGCCACTCTACCTCCGAGGAAACAGCCCCAGTACCCAGTGGATAAGAGGCTGGGTGGGGCCGACGGTCGGTCTGGCTGTTAGAGAGAAGAGAAATATCTTCTACCCCTACAGGGATTCCAACTCCAATTCCTCGGTCGTCTAGCCCAGTGTTCCGCAACCCGTGTGCCGTCACAAGGTGAAAGGTGTGACGCGAACTTTTACCTATTGTAAGAAATTAACTGTCGAATTGTATTCGTTTTATTTTATCCCTGCTACCGTGTTTCATATGCTTGTATTTTATTCTCAGCCACTGCACTGATTAAATAAGATGATGCTTGTTTTATTACGTGCTGTGATTTTTATGTACAGTAATGTTGTATTCTAAGAAATTATACGTAAATTATTTACTCACAATTGTTATATCATAGTTTTCATTATTGATTTATTTTTATTTTTCTCGCATCTACGCAGCTTCTTTGATATGCTTGCAGCATGATCTGTGAACGTGCTTTTCCTAAAACTGCACGGATTTGCATGGGTTTTCCTGTCTTTCATAACGCTGTTTCGGTATTTGCCCCTGTTTGTTAGAAGTTAGAGCTTCTTCAACTTTATGACTTTCTTCCTGTAACGATGCACCCACCGATTGTTGGACTTCATTTAAAATTATAAATATTTCAAAAATAAGTCGGTATAGTGTCACTTCTTCCCTTTGAAGAGTAGAGATCCCGCGTTTTACAATTGTTTCAGTTCTATCACAGCTGTGCTCTGAAGTAGTTCGCAGATTTTGGTTGCTAGTTAGAGAATTACAGATGGGTCGTTTGAGATGTCCCCGACTGTATGGCCACTTGCTGACGGCAATAAAGTGGTGATGGACACAATTAAAGAACATTTAGAAATGCTGCAGCAGAAATTCAATAAGTATTTTGGAGAGAGTGTACAAGATTTCGACCGGGTTCGTGATCCATTTGTTGTGAATTCAGAACATCTTCCGATTAATATACAAGAGGAACTCGCAGATTCAAAAGCAGACAGAACATTGAAACTAAAACTTCTCGAAGTGCCTTTGGATACGTTTTGGTTGGCAATAAGGAGTGGATACCGGGCTATCTCCGAGATGGCAGTTAATGTGTTATTGCCATTTTCAACTACATATTTGTGTGAACTGGGCTTCTCTGAAATTAAGACATCAAAGAGGGAGCGGTCCAAATCCATTGATGAAGAAATGAGACTTGCGTTGTCAACGATTCCCCCACGGATCAGTCGCCTGTGTGCAGCCTCAGTATCACTGAGAGTATGAGTAGAATTACTGTATTTACTTTAATAGTAATAGAAATGTATTTTCTACACTCTACAGTGAATTAAAGTTCATTAATTGTTAATAAATGCACGAGTCGATTTCTGTTTAATGATAATAAAATAACAATATAATAATACTATAGTAATAAGGTGATCACGTTACGTATTTATATTACTTGTCTGATATCATGCGTTTTTGAGGGGAATAACATTTTGGTGTGCCGTGTTGAGTCATGGATACTTCACGGTGCGCCGCGAGTAGAAAAAGGTTGCGGAACACTGATCTAGAGAATCGGCTCAAAGATGGTGGTAAGGTTTTCAGCCTTACGCGCCGGACGCGCTTTACTCCCCAGGAAAATTATTTAATTAATTCCTGGTACTCATTTCTGTTAGAGGCTGGGTCGACCCCAGGGCCATAGTGCGGCCGGAAGGTTTAGGTCAATTGAAAAAAAATCCACTGACCGGTAGCGTAGTTAGCTGAGGCACTATGCCACAAGCCGGAAGGTCGTGGGTTCAAGTCCCGATGAAGTCATTGGATGAGTACCAGGAATTAATTAAATAATTTTCCTGGGGAGTAAAGCGCTGCCGGCGCGTAAGACTAACAAACTTACCGCCATCTTTGAGCCGACTGTCTAGAAAATGTGGGACCCTCAACGTCTCACAACCCTATGGGCCTTCACGGCCTGTTACAGGGATAGCTTTACTTTTAACTCTTTAGCAGTACGTAGTAAAAATAAGAAAGGAAAGGTACTCAGCTCTGCGGACTATCATTTTATTGCCGCTTATTGCTTTACAAGGTGAGCGGAAAGACCGGAGATCGATACTTACATGAGACGAGAGCAGGTCTGTCCCGAACTGGCTACGTGATAACCGCCAGTGATTACAGGCGAGTCGCGGTAGCTCAGCCAGTACTGCGATTGGCCACCGACAGGAAGTCCGGGTTGCATTATGCATAATATGCGGCGTTAGTTTTGTCAGTATGGCTATTGGATGGACCTTCGCAGTTCGATGATGTGAGATGTGATAAGGTAACTCCCGTGGCTACTATTTATAATAATTTATTGTTGTACACTGACAAATTGTATGGACTGTTCAAAGGTATTTTTGAACTGTCTTCAAAATGATTCCAACGAAGAGAATTTATTTGTTGCTGGTGTACTTAATTTAGTGTACTACATTGTGTAAAAATAGTGGTTCTATCCATGAAGAACGAATCGACTGTTACTCCAAAGGGTAACAAACCACGCCGCTGTCTGCTCCCACCGATCATCCAACACNCAACCCCCCCCCCCCCCATTAAAGGTCCAATGAAGCCGAAAGGGTCCGATTATTGCGAAGAGAAGTTCAGCCGATTGTTTCTTTTAATATTTTGTAATCTCTTTTTCTAGTGTGCTCGCGGTCAGTTGTGTCATTTATGGGCTGGGGGTGAGAAAACTCAACAAGACGTCCTTTACGTACATTTTAAAGAGCCACACCTTACTGCCGAGTTATTCTAGAAATTGTGTCAGTCTCCCCCCATAACCCCAGCTGTGAATGTAGTACTCGTCACCACTCACAGGTAAAGTTAGCCCTATGCTTAGCCATTATGATGAATCTGATTGAGGTGAGTGAACAGCTTCATATCCCAGAGACAGTCCCTGGCATGCTCTGGATGGATTCCAGAAGTAGTCAGGACATGCCAGGGGGAAAGTCACCAGTGTACCAACATAACGCTAAACACTTTATTGCAACAGTATTTCCAATATTTATTACAAATTTAAACTTATTTTTCATGCATGCCTGGTGTATTTTTCCTATGTCAGCACTATTCATGGACTTATCAAGAAAGTGTGGCACTGGAGACTACATTTTGTAATAACCCTAGGATGAAGTATCAACAAAACTTAGCAAGTTAGCAAGAAATGTAAAGATGCATGACATTTTATGATCATGCACAAAGATCACAGAAGTAAATACTGCAACAACAGAATATATAGACAAAGTTGAGGATTTGGAATGTAATTTATGATGGTGTCAAATGGCATTTTCTAATTTGAAGCCTATTAACAAAGCCAAAGCAGCTGCCACAGAAATCTTGGCTAACAAAAGTTCTTTGAAAACAGTAATACAATTATATAATGTGTAGCTGTGGCATGTGATTAATGAATTTAAAAATAAAACTGAAATATTCAGTGCAATTAAGGACATAGTTATATTATGAAATACTGTCATTAGAAGAGTGGATTGTGTGTCTGATGAACAACTGAGGCAAGTTCTTGAAATCTGTGAATTTTTCAGCATTCAGCTAGAGGAGTCAACTGGTATCTGTAAGGTTTTCCGTTACTTGGTTTTATTAGCTGTTGAAAACAGTATCTTTACATTGGAGGACTGGTGGTGAAGACATATTTCAAAGCTTTTAAGCTTTATAGCTATACAGACCAAATTTTGCTGAAGTTACCCGCACAACAAAAAACGCTGGGGAGGCCTAAAGACTAACATGTATCTTTTTAAATATTCAGAAACAGATTGGGAAAGTTTAAACACATGGTACTGACACACACAGTGGGCGCCAGGATGGGAATCCTTTTTGTCCAACGGACAGAGAAACCCTGCATGTTTATAATTCTTTTACAAAATTCCAGCATTAATTTTTGTTTCGTGTTATAAAGCAACATGTCAGAAAGAAGTTAATTAATTAGTCTATGAAAGAAAACTTGGTATTTCCAAAACAATAGCACCCTCTTCTCTTACTATGCCGAAGACTACACTAAACCTAAGGGTATATTCATGTATGTGAAGAAGTAGGCCCTAGTTTACATATATACATAAGTAATTATTTGTTGTTTCTAGGACCTGCAAACACAAGATAATGTTAAAGTTTCTTGCACTTGTCATATCATAATTTGGTATCGACACTCCAAACAGTTAACAGCAGTTAACCCCCAGCAGTTCCACATACTAGTGAATTCCAAGTCTAATAAGATATTGTCACATATAGGAGCGAATGTAGACAGAGTCTGGATTGTTAAATAGATTTGTTGACCACTTATACACACAACTTGGAACTACAAGCAGTTACAGTGCCACCACTATTTCCACAATTCACAAATCACCACAACACCCGCTCAGCCTTTTCCAGCCCTCTTAGCAACAGGTCTATGTGCTTCAAATGAATGAAGCTTGCCTAGCCAACTGATGCATGTGCAATCCAGATCATGCATGTAGTTCATGTGAGGTCCTCTTTAATATTAGACACAGCTGATAAAGGATATTGACTTTCTGAGTATTTCTGTAACAAATTTTATAATCAATATTGAATTCAAACTTCCAATTTTGCATTTACGAAGCATATGGAGTGGGGAGGATAATATTAGAATGGGCCTGAGTGAAACAGGCTGTAAGGATATGAAGTGAATGATTGTTGTTTACATTCCCTACAGAATGGACAATACTTTGTAAGACGAAGGACCGACTAAATAATTAATATTACTACATCTACATCACGAGCCTCCAAAACAGCTTATTATATATACACAAAATATAGAATATTCCAATTTGTCCGTGGGAACACAACAAAATCACAAAAACCAACGACTGACTCGATGAAGTAAAGCATCACTCGAAGAATTTTATTCTTGTTTTATACTATAACTTTTGTTTGATATAGTCTAACTTATTGTATTTTTATGCCAAGTATTTTAATATAACTAATATTATTGTATCCAATTTTACTAGTACTGCAGTTTAGTGGTGTATATAAGTTAGCCATGTATTTGCCTGATGATGGCTCTTAATAGCTGAAACACGTAGCAGAGCCAAACTTGGCACTGACCTTAATATAGTTGTGTTGTGATGGTTTTAATAAAGAAATTATATATGGTATATTGTCTGATAGACAGGTACTTGAAGGAGGAACCTGCCACCTACATTTTCAGGCTAGAAGAGCTGAATGGGAAAAATGGAAAATGGTTCATGACATTGTGAATGGAGGACCAGGGCTAGGGCTAGGAAATAACTAATTGGAAATGGTGACCCTTAAAATGGCTATTTTTATCCATGGAGGAGGGGGGGAAAGAAGTAAGACTTCCCAACATTTTATGGAACCTGAAGATTCATTACTGTGTTCACAAGAGCTCTCCAGTCCATTTTTCACCATACTATCTCTCTAAGATTCATTTTAATATTATCCACCCACCTACATCTTGTCACAGTGGTCTCTTCCCTTCTCGTTTTCTCACCAATATCCTATATGCATTCCGCTTTGTCCCCATTCATGCTACGTGCCCTGTCCATCTCATCCTCCTTGACTTGATCATTCTAATTATACTTGGAGAAGAGTACAAATTATGAAGCTCCTCATTATGCCGTTTTCTACAACCTCCTGTCACGTCCATCTCTTTTCGGTCCAAATATTCTCAACACCCTGTTCTCAAACACCCTCAGTCTGTGTTCATTAATGTCAGAACAAGTTTCGCATCTATACAGAATCACACGCAAAATTACAGTTTTGTATATTTTAATTTTTACATTTTTAAGACAGCAGACGAGAAGACAAAAGCTTCTGGACTGAATGTCAACCTCCTCTTAATTTCTGCCTAAATCAAATTTGAATTTGTTACTATCATACCCAAACTCATTTCCAGCTAGTGCCAAGGTCAAGAAAATACGGATCTATACATCCACTCCCCCATACGCGTTCATGGCACAGTGCTCAATTAGTTGAGCACAGGGACAACTTTACCTTTACCTTTTACTATCATTCCCAAGTATATGACCTGTGCCACATTTCCAGAGGATCTGTTAGCTATCTTTATGTTATGGTTTTGCCCTGCATTCTGCTGCTGAGGCACCAGTATGCACTTAGTCTTCCCTGTGTTTACTTCTAGATCAGATCAATATGATCAGTAGCTGATCTGTTACATAAAAACCCCAGTAATTTAATCTATATATGGACTTATCCTTGAGAGAAGGATATTGGATAAAATTTTATATGGAAATGAAATATATGAACAAATAAATAAAATGCACTGATGTTTAATTAGTAACTGTTAGATTTGCTAAAACAGCATGTTACACTAAGTTCAGCTCGTATATAAATAAATGAGGAAGTATATGACGGAAATAGAGGGAAAAACAGAGCCAGAGAATGAGGAAGGAAGGCTGTTACAGGGCAAAGAAAAAGATTCACCTGTTCCAGAAAGGAAAAGAAGATGCAATGGTTGGGCAAGGAAGAGATGGAGCATTTTTCTGACAAGAGCTGGAGATCTTGGCCAGCACAGAAGTGAAAGAATCTGAAGGAAAACCACAGTCCATGAAAATATAAACTTCTTCAGAGGCCCTGGGAAGGGCAGTATCAAAAGAGAGGCCGTTATATGAGTCTCTTGAAAGTATATGATAAAAGCTGATACATGTACATGGCACATACATGAGTATCACCATATAGATGCAAGTTTCATTCACATAAATTCATTTCCAAGAGTCACTTTAATAAATTGTCTGGATCAGCAGTTCCCAAAGTGGGGATTGGCAGGATGAGGCTATGTGAGAAATTTGATGTCACATTTAACTGAAATACTCAAATTTTTGCAGCTGTAGTTATGTCTTCCCTAAGCACCCATCAAAATTAACCCAAATTAAAATAAGCTACATTTCAACATTTTTCAGAATTATTAATTGCCAAATAAAATGCATTGCGCAATTTCTTTTAAATTTTAATTTGTTTTCACCCTTTTGGTACAGGGCACCAGGGCTCCTATACAACAACTCTTTTGATTTCAAATATAAAAATTTTTTGAAAGTATTTCACAATCTTCTGTTTCTTACTATAGCATTAGTCTTGTTGACAGTGCTTTTATTTCAGGAGTCTTTGAAATTGTTTCACATTACACTTTTGACTGAAAGTTGTCAGGGGGTACTGGAGTCCCCTACAATTTTTTAAGACAGCAAATTAAGATGCACATAAAGGGACCCTAGAAGAAAATATCCATGTGCATGTCATATTTTGGTGCTGAACACCGGCTCATGGAGTGTTACAAACCAGACTAACCCAGCAGTAACAAATATTGCCTAAACCCAGCTTGTCTTAACATTCACTGAAAATAAGCATGTCATATGCCATGTAATTCTCAGGAATGATGTCATGTGACTTGACCATTTGGCGCAAGATTTGGAGAAAAATCACAGGGGACTGAAAGATAATGCAGAAGTGTCTTGCTACCAAACTTAAGTGCTTGAAACATATAAAGCCGGACACTATCAGAGATTCTCATTAGGGAACAACTGAACTGGTGGAAGCATCTTACAAGCTGTCACTTTTCACTGCCGAGCAAAGACCACTCACATGGTTGGAGAAACTCTTGTGAAACCATACTTCGTTATGTGCTGTGAATATTATGCTTGATGTCAGAAATCCGAAAGAAAGTTATAAAAATGTCACTCCCTGATAAGACATAAGTATAACACTGATGATCCTGCAGAGGACATGAACAGACAAGTATTGGGGTGGGGTCCTTTCCAACAAATCAGTGCACCAGTACCACTGATGGAGCTGAGAGCTGTCAACTGCTTATATATTCTCAA